AAAATTTTGCAAGGGAAGGAGAAATGGGCGCCTACGCGAGCAGTATCTTGGATGAATGTAGGAGAAGAGGTTGAGGTGGAGCAGGATGTGAAGATACCTCGTACCAAACGACGGTCAAATGAAGAGTGAAGGGGATGAACTGAGGGTTGAACACGGGAAAAACGTGTATACTGCGCGAAGTATTGTATGAATAATTCATTAAATAGAGATATATGAACATGAAGAATTAAAATGACACTATACATCAATCACAACTTTAGCATTAAATGTGAACCCAATGTCTTCAGCACCAGACTGACTTTCAACTCCTCAATTTATTCAACCATTTAGCATTTTCAGTTGCATTCCTGGAGACTCATATTCTACAACTCATCAGATTTCCTCTTGATTGTGCTCTAGCTATGCAGCTGGTATCGATCTGGTCTTTGCTGTTCCGCCAATCAACCGTTCTACTGAGTTAAATCCCCACACATCACTTTAGCCAATATCGATCCAAGCTTCTTAAATTCAACCCATACTAACTCTCCACCCCTCCTGCTCCTGCCTCAATTTCCTTCCCAGTTCTTCTCTCCTCCCAATTTTCATCAGCTAGTACGGACTCCGCTGGCTCCCTATGAACATCATCACCGTTCCTCCTCTCCTCTTCTCCCTCAACCCAAGCTCTATCTCCCTGAAACCTCAATACCTCATTTCCCCATACCCACCACCCTGCTGTCATATTTCTTCCGAATATTTCTAGACCTTTATAATCCTGAGTACCCAATAATTGTGCAAAAAGGAATCTCAGATTCGGTTTTCGTGAGTGTAAATCCGGGACTCCTATTAAAATTCTTCGCCTTATGGGAATGGTGGAGATTTTGGGTTGGGCTGGGCTGGGAGAGAATGAAGACGACGATGGAGCTGTGGTGGACGTGACTTGATTGATTGTGTTTAAGTGTTTAAAGGGGCTTTGGTTTGTAAAGTTTGTTTCTTCGCGTTCCCCCTTGACGTCCAACCTCTCTTTCCCAACTGATTTCTTAGGATCAAACTCCATTTTCTCAAGTTTCTTATCAACGCTCGTCTTTTGTCCCACAAGAAGAATCTCCCAAGGCTTTCTCCATGTTCCTTTAATATCATAAATTGGCTCACCACTAGATGTTATTTTTAGCCAAATCCATTCTTCTACCAATTCTAAACCCCAGTGGTCAAATAATCCACATTTGTCGAGAAGCATGGCATGAAAGGCGGGCTTGTTGGTTACCCATATCCCGACGTAACCGCCGTTTTCTATGTGATGACATGGTAAACTAGAAGTTTTATATGTTAGTAGTTGTTTAGGAGATAAAGAATATTCAAATAGAGGTGATGTGCAAATGCAGCTGAATATTAGAATACAGTTAGATATCCAACTAGATTTACACACTCGGAAGGAATCGCAAAATCATATCGAGATGTCGAGATGAACATCTGAATGAGCTTAGGTTTCAAATGCAGCTGATCATTAGAAAAAGGTAACAACGAGGAAATAACTCCTTACGATTTCAATAGGTTTTCTATACCAAGTGATCCCGAAGCAGTAGTATAAGCATTCTTCCTCAAGGCAGATCGATTAGGCCAGGGCGGATCAACAATTATTACATGAAAGCTCGGCAGGCCCTCACATAGTTTTAAATCACCCTGGTCATTGACTTCAGAAATACTACCGTACAACATCGTTGACTTGGGTGGCATTGTACCCGCCACATCATCTATTTCAACGCGTTTTGAACGCATGCAGACGTTCTCAACTTTGATGACATCATGCCTTCCTACACCTTCTTCCGGCGCCCCCCTTTTCCTCTTCTTCTCATCCTTCTCGTAAACACGATCTAAACAAAGACTCCCATTCCACCTAAAATCCTCCTTCATCTCATCCAAAGCAAGCTGAACATAACGTTCTAACATCAATTCCTTGATGCTTTTTTCCGGCGCATTCTTAAGAGCTTTTGCTGACTTGGGTTCAAGTGAGGGGTAGGGTAAAACAAGTGGTTTGCATGATAAAAGCATTTTTTTGCGATTTTTTAAAAAATTTGTCTCTCCAGATAAATATTGGGCATCTCCGATGGATTGTGGGATATCGACCAAGGTGATTGTTTGGCTGTCGTTTTGGTAGAGGATGTGAGGTGGAAGAGAACAAGATTGCATATGCGATACTGTGGTGTCAGTCTTACATAAGCTTTTGCATATATGAGGTTCCATTTGATGAGAAACTGTTTTTGTAGGTTTGATATTTTGCAATTCATTCAACACACTCGAAGAGATATCTGGATAATTGTCACGTGACTAACGACGGCAAAATGTATTTGCGAGGTTTTGCGCATTGATCGTTGATTCATGACGACAATTTTGATTGATCTCATAGATGACTCCAAACTGCCAAACCAAAATGTCTTGTTGCCGAGTTTCTATTAATTAGTAAGAGGATGGATGTCGGGTTGCCACATTGTCTTTGGCATGGCACAAATGCGGCTGCGTCGCTATTCTGAGATCATCCTTAAGAATCAGAGGATCATTAATCATCATTACATGTGTCCGAACAACTTATCCCTTCACGGTTGAATTCAGAGTCTATCTTGAATGGCAAGCAATGCTAGAACATCGCGCTCCTGACTCAGAGTCACTCTCTCGGTGACTATTTTTGGCGTGGAGGCCCTCTGGTCATGTCCATAAATATACCTAGGCGTATTCGCGATCGAGGCTTCAGGTAACATCCTACTTCAAAACATTTCCCTACATCCGGATTTCTAGCTATACATTCCCATTTGTTTTAATTCATCGTCAACAAAATTCTCAGCTATTGCAAAATGCTATGTCAACAGTTATCCTCTGTTGATATAAAGAGGCCAAATCTTACAATCCCTTTTGAGCTTCACGCAAAGATTCTCAAACATACTTTTGGGCACTGCACAGTATAGATAGGATTTAATTTATACCAATTGAAAAACCTCCCTACTACGGACTTGCCGGTAAACTGATCATGTTATCAACTCTTTTGTTCCGTTTTGGCACCACCTCCTTCATGGTCGATACACTTGTGGAATTACCATCATCTACCATCTGTCAAATCCGTAAGATTGGTGTCAGAGGATATTCCTTTCCTTTATTTACGGAAATCAAAAGAAAAAGGCGCAACACTATGGTACGGAAGCTTTACTACTTATCAGATGGTGCATACTCTTTCATCATTTCTAGGACTACAACTAGACAATTTGATAGTTGAAGATGTGTATTATGGGAAAGACCAAGATAGGGGATTCTTCAGGAATGTGTAGACGCATGATGAGATTGGATTTCTGGCTCACCGGAATGGATGGAAAGAATCATGGTATCTTACTCGCACAACGGAATTTATTGAAACTAGGAATTATGCATCTCATCGAGTTGGAAAACCCGCTGGATGGGATAAAGACACCAAAGGAAAGGATGGTGTTGACTCTGGGCGGAATGTAGGATGTATGTTGGTCAACATTGAGGGAGAGGAAGTAGAGGGAGGAAGTGGAGGAAGGGCATGTGATAAGGGTACACAAAATGGAGACGACTACCGGAGTGAGGATGTACAAGACGAAAATGAACAGAATGAGGTTGCGTTATGCGAGGAAAAGGAAGAAGGCGAGGGAAAAGAAGATGGAAAAGATGAGGATGTAAACAATGAAGGTAATGGCGACGAAAAAAAGGGGCTTAAGTAGGTGAAAGCTGCGAAGGAGAAGTACCACCACCTGGGATATGGGATATTGAGGACCCGGAAGGAGGGTCACCGTGGATTTGGATACCCAAGCAGGACAGTTTCTCGCTCCATCAGCTTTCGGATGAAGGAAGTCATCAACGTGAGGAACTCGGAAAGTTGTTTGATGAGATGAACTGGGAAGAGATCGAAAAGACTAGCAAGTAACTTTCACTTGAGAATGACAAAACTGGTCATCTATACTTATGTGCATCAACGCATTAAGATGACCTGACGACAGTGGCATCAGGTATCCACCAAGCCCGAGGCAAAGAATGGTGAATATGGCTATATCGTTGTTTTGAATTTTAATATGATTGGTTTATATGGCGTTTCAGAACAACATCAAGTGCCGATTGTCTATCATTTTCAATATACTTCCCAGCTTTGTTTATTTTTTAATGGTCCGACATTTTTTCTCTTCGGCTGATGAAAAGAAGAATCACCCATTTGGTTCAGATAAGCGACCATAAGCGACCATTAATCACCATTCATTTAGTGATGAGTAAACATGTAAACACATATCTGCCTTGTTAATTTCCTCACTAAACTTACTTTCTCATATTAAAGCACGGAAAAGCTCTCTACCGGAAACTATTTTTACCCCGGAAAACCTATAGGATACCATACCATGCAAGATAACTCTTAAACCTCGGCAGTGCTTGCTTTCGGTAGTTCTTTCGGTAGAACTTTCGGCCGACGACCACTTTACAGTATGACAGTATCCACTTGATCGGAAGCGTTTCATATAGAAGGCTGGTTTATGGGAATGTTCTTATCTGGACATGCGTCTACACCGACATCATGAGAGAGCAATTAAAAAAAAAGTTCGAACTAAGGTTGGATCGTGTACGCGTCACTACATTCTTCTGAACTCTGGGGCTCTAGATCTCTGTGTGTATCTCTATTTGCATGTCTGTGTGTAAGGTAAAAGATATAACGTATAAGATATAGGGTAGAAGATAAAAGATTTAAGATGATATAATTCCCTAAATCTTGCCTGGCTACAATTTGAATGAATCTTGCTTAATAGTATTTCGCATTCAACATGTTTTCGCCATTACTCCTTCTCACTTATTCCTCTCTCTTCCTTCCCGCAATATGCACTCCCCTTCACAAAAGCAACGGCCTTGCTATCAAAACAACCAGTGGTGATGTTCATGGCTTTATTAATCAAACAGCACCACAAGTCCTACAGTTCTTAGGAATCCCGTACGCAGAGCCTCCGGTTGGAGACCTTAGATTCGCAGCACCACAAACTAAAGCTAAAGGTTCCTCCATAAACGCTACAGCTTTCCCTCCTTCTTGTCTTCAAGGGTCTAGCCCTACCGCCAATGTTTATACAGATGTTGTACCGCAGTTCTTGATTGAGGGAGGGCAGAGTGAAGATTGCTTGTATTTGAGTATTTGGACTCCGGCAAACCCGACGAAAAAAACTCTGCCTGTTTTAATATTTATACCTGGAGGTGGCTATGCCGGTGGTGGAGAGGATATTCCCTATCATAATCCAGATCTTTGGGTCCAAAAAACTCAATCCCATATTGTGGTTTTGCTGAAGTAGGTTCTGCGCGACCATTTTTTTCGTTTTTGATAGACGACATTTGCTGACTAGACTTCGAAGTTATCGCTTAAATGTCTTCGGATTTCCAAACGCAAAGGCTATCACGGAGAATAGAAACCCAGGATTACTTGATCAGAGAAAAGCGTAAGTTTCTTGTTACCCTCGTCAGCTTCATGAAAAATATCTAACGATCCACCAGCGTCGAATGGGTTTACCAAAACATTGCCTCCTTCAACGGCGACACTAACAGCATAATTCTTTGGGGTCAATCTGCCGGCGGAGCATCCGTAG